TTATAATAGAATACTTTATAATTTAAGTTTAATGAACGATAATTTAATTCTTTTATAATTTTAAACGCATTAAATTAGAAATATTCGAAAAGAAAGTTCTTAATACATATTATTTAATTTTCGTTAAAAAAATATTAAAGTTAGTTTCATTAATTTATTTTTATCAATTAGTTTATTATTTAACAATAACGATATTTAGCTACCTTTTCTTTCAAATTAAAATTTACTTTAGAGTAAACAATAAAACAAAATTATTATTATTATTATAAATAATTTATCTAAATATCTAACCCGTCCACTTTGTCAATGCAATTAGTTATTGCAAGGTCCACAATTTTTTCATGATGTTCATGATTAAGCTCATTAAATTTGGAATAATATTTTAAAATTGATCTCCCTTCTTTGGATTGGTTTAGTGTAAATTTAACAGTTGGTAAATTTAATGCTTTATGCATTTCTCTTCCAATAAACGATCTATCACTCTCATTAAAGGAATTTTCTGTATCACTTGCTTTCTGTTCGTTCTTAAAAAATTATATTTTATTAAATTTTATTAAAATAAAAAACAAATAAAAACTAAATAATTTTGTTTATTTTATTTTTAAAAAGTGATTATTATATGCTACAAGAAACACTTACTAGACTCATTTGTGAGGTTTGTACTTCTTGGATAGTCTCCAACCAATAAAATGTTAAAATCAAATAATATTGTTCGTTTATACCTTTTCTCTCTTTTATGATGAGAGGGAAATAGGGCCCAGGTAAAAGACGACACGACACGTCTGGCTTGAAAATGTCTTTCTCTTACGATGAGAAGAAAAAAGGTTCAAGCCAAAAATATACGATGCGCTTGCCCTGTACCTTCCCCTTCTTCTACGATAAGAAGGAAAGAAGGTTCCGGTCAGTTTTTAATACGAAAATCGTTGCAGTTGCTTAGGCACTTCGAACCAGTGTACTTATAGTTAAATAAATAATATTTAATACATTTTTTTTCTTTTTATTCGAAAGTGTTCAAGATTTCCTCGACGAAGAAATCCATCATGGTCCTTCGAGCCGGATTCGATTAAAAAGGTAACAATTCCTTTCCAATTAACCTTCCATTCTTATAATTTAATTCCTAATAATGTAAGACGAGCAATTAAAAAAATTGTACAAAAGGCGAGAAACAATTCAAGGACAAGTAGCAAATTTTAGAGACTTCCTTGAAACGCAAAACGACGGTCCGACAGACCTATCTAAACTTGCCTTGCGATTAGACAGACTAAAAAAATATTTAATTCTTTCGACGACATTCAGGATGAAATTGAACTATTAAACACCGAAGCTGATCAAACCGAACTGTGCGCGGAAAGATACTCAATTCAAAACGATTTTTTTAATGTAGTTTCTCAGGGAGACAGTCTTTTTGCAAACGGTCAACGTTCAATTCAATTTAACGATAATTCAGATCGCGGTTCAATTAATCATAATTCAGAATGCGTGCACACAAAGCGAAAAGTTAAATTGCCACAAGCAAAAACTCCTACTTTCTATGGGCGGATTGAAGACTGGCTTTCTTTCAAAAACTCCTTTTCCTCGTATGTTCATGATCAGACAGATTTAACAAACATTGAAAAACTTCAATATTTAAAATCAGCCTTAAGTGGGGACGCGGCGCGAAAAGTATCAATTTTTCCAATTTTAGAAAACAATTATATACAAGCTTGGGAATTATTAGAATAACCTACGGAGACAAACGACAAATTATTTCGAGACATTTAAGTTTGATTTTACGATTGCCAGTACAAGAAAAACAAACGTCGGAAGGTCTAATAAAATTAGCAGATGAAACCCAGCAACATCGTTTATCATTAATATTACTCGGGGTAAATATTTCAGAAGAAATTCTCGTTCAAAACTTGGAAGAAAAATTACACAAAAGTACTTTAGACAAGTGGGACGAGACACTAAAGAGAAACGAATTTCCAAAACTCGATGATATGCTCGAATTTTTATATCGAACGGCAGCTCGCATTTCTCAAAGAGAAACCAAAAATCCGGTTAACCAAAAGGTAACGAATAACGTACCTGAAAATAAAAATAAACCTTTTAAAGGTAGCAATTCATCATTGGCAACTTCGATTCTCAAATCTTGTTCTGCTTGTCGAACGAAAACTCATCATCTCTTCCGTTGCGAAAAGTTTCGTGCCTTATCTGTCCCTAAAAGGATTCAAATAATATCAGACGCATCTTTATGTATAAATTGTATGCGAGACAATCACGGAGACGATGACTGTAAATTCGGTAATTGCGTAGTATGTGGCGAAAAACACAATACCCTTCTGCACCAAGAGGTCGCATCCTCGAAAAAATAGCATTTAATATCACGACTTCACGGTCAACAGCGAAATCACGTATCTAAAATCTCATTAACTAGTCAATTTATAACAAGTGCTATGATCATAGAACATTCAGTTTTTTAATTATCTCTCAAAACGCGAATTTGATCCCAAATCAAAAGATTTCTCGTGATTTAATTCCAATTCCAGCAAACATTCAACTCGCTGATCCTCTTTTCCATATATCTCGACCAGTTGACTTATTGTTGGGCTCAGGCCCATCGTTATCTCTATTCTGTGTATGACAAATTGACTTAGTACCGCGATCCGATAATGAACTAATTCTCCAAAAAACGCGACTCGGTTGGGTTGTAGGTGGCAGCGTTTCAAATTTATCTACAACTTCGCGGGAAATTAAATGTCATCTTTCAGATTTGCAATCAGATTTAATGAAATTTTGGGAATTAGAAGAAGAAAACGACAAAGTTCACGTTTCCGATGAACAAAAAGAATGCGAAAATCATTTTCGAAATCACACCAAACGAGATAGTAGCGGTAAATATGTTGTAGCCTTACCGTTTCGCGCTAACCTCAAAGAACTAGGTAATTCGCGCGATATCGCTTTGAAACTTCTTTACAGTTTAGAACGAAAACTCGATAAATCACCAGAATTAAAAGGACAATACGACGCGAATTTACAAAATTATATTGATTTAAATCACATGTCAAAAGTAAAAAGTGAAGAAGAAGCTGGATTTTATTTGCCGCACTTTGTGGTTATAAGAGAAGGCTTAGCAACTACGAAAGTTAGAGTAATATTCAATGGATCAGTAAAGTCGGAATCCGGTATTTCATTAAATAATGTTTTAATGGTCGGTCCGACGATACAGAACGACGTTTTCGCTCACATGATTCGATTTAGATCATATAAATTCGTATTAACCGGAGATATCGAGAAAATGTATCGCCAATTTGTAATCCGTGAAGAGGATAGGAAATTTCAGAGAATGTTCTGGAGGCGTGATGGTAAAAACATTGAAGTTTTCGAACTAAATACTGTCACATTCAAAACAAGCTCTTCATCCTTTCTTGCTACACGTGCATTGCAACAATTGGCCGATGACGAAGGGGACAAATACCCGGAAGCACCTAAAATACTGAAAGAAGATGTTTACGTTGATGACTGTATCACAGGCGCCAAAACGGTAAAAAAGGGAATTGAAAAACGAGAGGGAATCACAAAGCTCTGAAAATTAGGTGGATTAAATATTCGTCAATGAGCATCGAACGATCCGCGATTGTTAGAGGGTATACCAAAAGATAAAATCAATTTAAATCTCCAATTCAACGAAGACAAAACCATAAAAACTCTCGGTGTTTCGTGGAATTCGCGCAATGATAATATTATTTATTCAGTTAAACCACCAACCATTCTCTCGAAAATTAATATGCGAACTATAATATCGGACATTTCGAAACTATTTTACCCATTGGGTTTATTTGGCCCGATCATTCTATTCGCTAAAGTTATTGGGATCTGAAATCGTGACGTCACACCAAGTATGACATAGCAACATGGCGGTCACAAGAAGGCACCTTTGCATGTAAACAGTATGTAATGTGCGATATACCACCGGCTTTTCTTATTGTTTTTAACTGTTTTTCATTAAAATTACTCTATACAAACATGAAATTAACTATTTCGGAGGTTTGTAAATTTTGTGATTGTACACCTTCTTCTCGAAATTTCGTAGAAGGTGAAAAAGTGTTCCAAGCTGACCACATTATATTTTGTGGTCAACAAGACAGCGGCGAACCCTGGCGGATCGCATGGACTGGAATGGGACTGAACTCGGTCCGATTTCAGTCACGTTTCGGTTCGATGTGGAAAAACCCATGAAAAAGGTGGAAAATGGTGAAAAAAACTATTGGAATAAATAAATAACTAATCCAAGGTTTTATTCCTGTAATAATTTATTTGAATTCAGCTTTTATTAACTTATTATTAATGTTGAAAGTCAAAAGGTGCCCACCTGTCACTTTAATGTTCGCTTTATTTCGTAAATATTTAAAGTGAAAAAGTGAAAATTGTGATAAAACCAAATGTGTATATATTAATGAATATTTAATGTGTCTAAATTATATATTTTGTGTTTTGAATAGTGCATATTAATAAAAAAAATAGTACATTTTGTAATAAATGTCCTGTTTATGTGTTTCGGTAGAATGTCACTTAGCCGATAATGAGATTGCCGCGCACGAAACACGCTAGATGTCAGAACTGGTTCTTTCCTCTTCAAATGTTTTATCATTCTTGTTTTATTAACGTACACAATTTTATTTGAAAATTTTAATAGATGTAAATAATTAATAAAGGTTTAATTAATATGTTAGTAATTTTGATATAATAGTGAATATTTACATTAAAATTGTTTTTGTCATTTTCAACTTTGTTTGTAAAATATTCATTTTCACTAAATAGTGCATTTTATTATTTAATTTCAATTATTTATTACATTATTAAAAAAGGTTAAGTTTAATAAAACTGTGTAAAACAAATTATTATTAAAATTATTTTGATAAACGTTGGGTCGGTAAATTTCAGCTTGCCGGTAACAGCGCCAAGTGTCAAAAAAAAGTAATAGCACGCAACTGGTGGTTTAGGCTACCGAGCCGGCGCTTTCTCTGCCATGCTTGCTGGATTCAGTTCTTGTCCGGCCTTTACACGGTGAAAGACAGTGTTAGTTGTAATTTTGTGATATTGAGTGAAATTGTGAAATTTGGCGTCTCTTTTCCAATGGAATAAATTTTCTTCACGGAAAATTTAATTGGGTAAGTAAGCATTTACAATATAAATTTTGCACCTTTGTTCACGCATTAACCTTTGACAGTGCCATGTAATTGAAAGGTCCACAAGTTTATGTCAACCGATAAAACTAATATTTTTGGCTTTTTTCTCAATTATTTCATTTTTGATTATAACATATTTGAATGTGATTATAATCAGTCAATTTGCTTTTGAGAAACAATTTGTTCCATACAAGTTGTTTTTTAAAAAAGTATATTATTTAAATTCTGTAAAATAAAAAATATTTTTAAGAGAACATTCTGGGTTATTTTTATAAGTATAAATTAAAAGATGTTGCTACTTAAAGAAAATTCCCATCTAAAACTTCTTATTTAATTGAATTTTTATGTAATATAACTTTTAGTTAATCGAATTTTGCCTATTATATTTTTCTTCTCGTTAAATTGAACGGAATTCGCATAAAATATATGATATGATAGTTTAACAAAATTCTAAATTATTGAATTTATAATAATTTTAAAAAATCACTCAGTTAACTTCTGATATGAAGGGTAACACATTAAATAATATAAGATTTTATCAGACGGATTAGGTATTTATTTAAATTATTTATTATTATTTTTTATTTATTTAAGAAACTTTTTTTCAACTATATGCTCAAGATTTCCTTATGCGAGCAGTTTTATGACATCATTTGAACAAGAGTATATAAGGTTTTTATCTACAGAAGAAAAAAAATTTCCCAACAGTCCATAATTTCTTATTATTTGTATATGGATGTAAAACGAAGGTTTTGCTTTCTCGTTGGGGAAGCTTTGTAGTCGTCTCATTTTCAAAAATTTTTAAAGTGGCGGAAACAAATTTTCCTCTTTATAGAAACATGTTATATGAGATCCTGATCAATTGTCCAGATGTATGTGTGTATGTGTGTATAGATCCCTTTTTTTTGTTTACAGGATAACTTTAATAAGTTTTAATGGATATACATAAAATTTGGTATGCTTATTTATCAAATTAATATCTCAAATCTGACCAAAGGATTTTAAAAAATACCCAAAAAAAAATGTTATCGTCTGTTTTCTAAAAAAAATTTTTGAAAAGAAAAAATTTTTAAATTGCCAAATTTAAGGTCTTATATAATAAAATCGTCTTTCTTACGTCAAGACGAATCGATCGTTTTATATAAAATATAGTTTTGATTTAAATTTAAAGAATTAATGAAAGTTAAAAAATCAAAAATTCACATTTTGGCTATAAAATTTTGTGATTATTTAAATTCAAGTTTAAATATAAAATAATTGTATTCCTTGCATTGAAACGAATCCATTGGTATATATATATATATATAAAGTATACATTTGATTAAAGACAAAATTTTTAGCTAAAATCTGAATTTTTGATTTTTTAACTTTTATTAATTCTTTAAATTTAACTCAAATTTATGTATTATTATATTATTTATGAATATTTATTAGAATGTTAATGCTTTCTCCACGAGGAAGCAAATCTTTTTGCTGATAAATGTTCATGTAATGAACATCTGAATTTACAACTTGTTTTATATTAATTTAATTTTATTTCTTTATTTTATAAGAATGACATTGATTGCAATTTTAATTAAAATTAGTTAATTCGATCAATACACAATAAAAAAGCAACAATTTTTTTTGGTCTTTACTTCTCAAAAAAAAATTTTGTTGTATAACTTGCATTACAATTTTTTTACAATTGAGAGGTTGAAAACATACGATTTATAATTACACAAGGGTTTTAATTTTTTTCTGCTAGGTGTCATAAGAAATATTAAAAAAGAACAGTACAGTTTTTTGTGTACATCTTTCTTCACATGTAATATATTTGATCTGAATTTTTTTATGATTTTTTATTATTTTAGTAGATGATTTTGATTTTTAAATTTTGATTCATAGATGAATCATTTTTTAAATTTATTTTATGAAATAGGAAAGTTTTTATGGTGATATTGAAAAAAAATTTATAAACGTTGTGGACTTCAATTACATCGTCAGTTCACAAATTTTTTTTGGAAAATTTTTTGATGTTTAAATTTGGAATAGTTTCTTTAAATTTTGAAACGTAAAAATAATATAAATAATAAAAAGAACGAACATGAAATATGACAAAAGATCTTTTTCTTTGAGGAAGCACAATGTTTATGAAATGAACATAATCTTCTTGTATAAAGAAGGATCCCCCCCTTTTGTTTAGTTTTCTTGTTCCAATATTTTCGAAATATTTCTATCTACACAAGATAAAATCGACTTATTTTTTTAAATAGTTTCAGCTATGTCGCAAGACGTTGCTTAAAAATAAATCATTTTTGAAAACTTTTTTCTAAATGCATACATTATTACGGTGTATTAAGAATCAAAATTTTTGTTTTCTCACCTCTCACTCCGTAAAAATTCTTTTTTTAATTATGAAAAACTTACTTACATTCTTTTAAATTCATAAAAAATATTTTAGTGAGGTACAAGTCCTTTAAATTTAAATTTTATTTCTATGTAGTGGAGAATTCAAAAATCGAAACCGCCTTTTTATAAATGAATTCTGGATCCGCCACTGTTTTTATGTAAACTAATGTATTAACTCTAGATATTGTTATTGAAAACAATCGCTCGATTCATTTCAGAAATACAGTACAATGGAAGAAGAAGAAGTTAGCATTCGTGAAAAAGATGCTGCTGCATCTTCAAACGGTAAATTTATTTCTTAACCCTACCGATGAAAATTATTTTTAAAATTAATAATGGTTTTTTTTGGAAATATGAACATATAATTTACCTGAAGTAGAACTTCAAGTTTAGTAATGTTTTGAAATCTGGTATTTTTGTATTTATTTAATTACTCTTAAAGTAATTATTTATGCAATATATTTTACATTCAAAATATTAATTATTTTAAATTTAATTTAATTTTCTCAGTTTTGTAAAAAAATTGTTATTCGAAAAAAAAATAATTTTTAAACATGAAATTGAATCTGACTTGAAAATGCACCTTACATGAACGGCGTAATGAAGTAAAAAAAGAGTGAAATATTTTCGTAAATATTCGTTTGCTTTCTAAGGTGCCTTACTCCAGAGCATGCCACAAATAATTTTTTTATACCTTATTTAAATTTAAAAATAAAGAATGAATATTTTAAATATTTAAGTTAGTAAAATATAATGTTGCAATAATAAGTATAAGAAATTTTAATATTTAGAAGAATAACATTATTTATTAATTAGCATTTTCGTATATCTGATGTATTATTCTCAAGAAAATAAGCCATATTTCTTTGAAATCGAATCATTTTTTAAAAAAATCTATAGAAGTGATATATCAAAAAAATTTTATCCTGTGCAAATTGTATAAACAAATAAATTTTAAAAGTTTTAATTTTTTTCTTGAAAATTAATATCTCATGTTATATGTTCAAAAGTATTTTAGATGATTTTATTGACATTTTTGAATATGTTATACAGCATATAATATAAAAAAATTGTTAAATAAAGAATGTTGTTAAAAAAATTTTTTCAACTAATCATTGTAATTTATTTTTTCAAAATAAAGCTATAAAATTTCAGTTTTTTCTGAATTTTACAACTTATCTTGTTGACTATACCATACAGCCAAATTTATTAGTTTATGTTTTAAACATTAATAAATAGCAATCATAAATTGTTTGAAAATATCGTATTGTCATTTTTGACAATCAGTTTCTACTGGTTGTATGATTTAGTCAACAAGGTAAGTTGTAATATTCAGAAAAAAATCCTATTTTATAGCCTAACTTTGAAAAAATAAATAAATAACAATAATTGTTTAAAAAAAATTTAACAATTTTATTTTTTTAACAAATTTTTTCTTAATAAAAATTTAATCTATTCGAAAAATAGCTATAAAATAGAGATATTTTTAAACATGTATTTTACCTTTCTTTGCATTTATGGGGTTTTTTGGAACCTTTTAAAAATAGTTGATTTAATTTTTTGAAAATAATTATTAGAACTTTATAGTTTGAACACTTCTAAAGAGAAATACCGTTGGCCGATTAAAAAATATTAAGTTTTAACGAAATTATTTCAAGTTTACGAAAAAGCAGTTTTTTCCATATAAAATTCATGGGAAACTTCAAGGGCCTGACGGCATCACTAAATAATTAACCGATTTTAATTTGAAAAAAATGCGGGTCTCTTTTACTCCAGTGGGAACAATTCTATGGGGCGGCAGTATGACTTTTTTTGGGCCACACTAATATTTATATAGTAGTGTTTTTATAATTTTTTATAAATCTTATCTTTATTTTTTGAATTAAATTTATTCTTATAAATTTGTCTTGAAATCGCACATTTGAGTTTCATTTTTTGAAGATTAAAAAAATATAATTCCCACGGTGTTTGGGGATTGCGAAATTAATAAAAACTGGTTTTGATTTTAAAGATGTGAGGAAAGGAGGTAGGGTCAGAAAACCGAAACCAATTTTTTCTCCCGATGACTACGTTACGTCAAAGGAAATAAAAAAAAGTACTGTCAATGCCTTGAAAAAAAAAGCTCAAGTTGACCAAGTAAGTTATTTTATAAAAAGAAAAGTAAAATAGTCATAAAAATTGTTCGCAAACTCATTCTTTATATTTTATTCTTAAGGTTTCATTAAACTTCATAACTTTACAAAAATTGATTTATTCAGGGATATTGAAAGGAAAATATTTTAAAAATGTTCTGTAAAACTTTTATGAAGATTTAAGCAGTCTAAATATTTCCCTTTTGTTATTAAATCATGTTTTTAGCACACTTATATTTCCGAGGAAGTAGATAAATGTATATATGTATAAATGTATAATTTTGCATTCTTACAGAGATTAATTAAGAAATGTAGATTGGAGTTGGATAAAACTTACGACAATGAGAATGCTAAATTGATGTTAGCTGATGTAAGTTTTTAATATTTATCACTTAAATATCGGTCAAAAACAAGACTATCTACAAAAATATTTTGTAAAAAATTTTTATTTAATTTGTTTAGGTTTGATTTGTTCTTAATATTATGTTTATCTTAAAATTATTGAACGTGCACAGAAAACAGGTTTTGTTGATTCAAAGAAAATTTGTTGGACAAAAAATATTCATATTTAAAAGTGTTCAAAATGAAAAAAAAATATAACAACAATGAAAAATTTAAACTTTTTTAATTGTGGGTGCAATCAAACTCCTAATTAATAAATAATACACTTAAGGATTTTATTGACTTTAAAATAATATACATAACTAACTGTATCGACAGTTGGGTAATGGATTTTTCAAAAAAAAAGAAATTTAATGTGCGAAAAATATTGTTAATTTATCGCATAATTTATCACTAAAATTATTTAATTATTGAATAATAATTATTTCGTCAAAACATCCTCTAAAGCCACCTATCTGGTAATAAGTTCAGAAAATTCCCAAAAAAGTGTTTACCCAATTGATTAAAAAAATTTGAATACATTTCAATTTATTGCCTTTACAGTGCATTACATGCGATGTCGCGATAACATCCTTTAATATATGCCAATCCTACAGCAGTATATAGTCTGAAACCTTGAAATATGGAAAACCTGTATTTGTTTTATTAATAGAAAACCTTAAAATGTCAGGAAACTTCTTAAAAGTCGCATTATAAAAATTTTAATGTCTTGCATTTAAAATCAAAAAAATATCCAGTTCCCATGTTGATATTACAACTTTTGGGTTACAAATTAAATGCTAAAAGTTGAATTCAATATGGTTTCTTTAAGGTAGTATTACACTTTTGTAGCAGTAAAAATTTGTTTCACACAAAATTTTATTTTTGCTATATTTTCTTTATTTAAAGTAATAAAATCTTTTTTATTTTTTTTTATAATTTAAAAAAATTTTTATTTTATATTTTCAAATTATTCTTATTATTCCCTGGTAAGACCATTTTTTTTTACTAAAATTTTTCTAAATTCAAGTTCTTGAATTATATGTCATTAAAAATAGGTCTATTTATAAAAGCAAAAATTTTAAAAATTTATAATTCGAAAACTTGGCAGTCCATAAAAAGTAAATGGGTACATAAACGTTTTTTTCTCTGAAGAATGAAACCAAAATATGTTTGAACAAATTTTAAATGACGACTGAAATCTAACGTGGAATCGTTTTTATATAACTAAATATGTATTAACTTTGATAAAACTTTTATGATTTTCATAATCAATCAAATGACTGTACCTATTATCATACATAAATAATATTACTAAAAACAAAATAATTTTTTAAAAATTTATTATATAATATAATAATTAATTAAAATTAGACTCTGTTAAACAAAAATTATCTTAAAAATGTAAATTCAATGAATTAAAAATTATAATGAGTATTATTATTTAATAAAATATTATTTTAAAATAAAGTATTATTTTTAACAAATAAATATATTTGTTTAAATAAAAAATTCTATTTTCTATTTGAAAATTTGTTAATCAATTAATAGAAAATATTTGTTTCGAGTAATATTAATTAAATAATAAATTAATAATATATAACATTTATATGTGATAATATGTACATAGAAAAATGATTAATTACTGAAATAAAAACAAGTGACAACAATTTATATAACTATAAATTAAAAAACATTTTTAAAAAATTAAGTAAATCATATTACATTTACTTTATTATCAATCAAAATATTATTATTAATAATGAATCAAATATGATTGTTATTACCTATTATCAAGATTTCATTTATTTATATTTTACATTAAGGAGCATTCATCTTGAGTGAAATAGGATAATTAAAGTAATATAACAAACACGTTATACGCGTACGAAAATGTGTCCGAGAATGCATCTATACATTGTAACGAAGTATTTCGTTACTTGGTATTGTCGATTTACTCTGCGTCTCATTTCACTCATATTCGTATAGTCGCGCAATGTCATGGTCAGCGTTGTCATAGACCTAGGTCTTAGCAGATTTTTCTTTCAAATGAATTGCGCATGTGAGATGCGAAAAGGCCCGATTGTCAGCGTCGCTCTCCGAAATTTCCTTACAGCTTACCGCCAAATTTTACCCGGAAGAAGGACAAGGCTATGGGGATGACGAGGAGAGACCTATTAGGTGAACCCCACTATCGACCAGGATCAAGGGGGAAGTCAGCGTCGCTGATCTATCAGTTCTATTTGGATTTTTAGAATAAGAAGTCGCGTTTTGAGTTCTCCTCAACCCTTCATTTTATTGCATATATAGTTTTTCAGTATTTCGATTAATAAATAGCATTGTTGAATTGTAATTCTAGTTTGTGAGATATCTAGTGTGATCTGTTGTTTTAATCATTTATCGAAGCAGTGGCAGTTGGTCATCCTCATCCCGCATTGTCAGTGTTGGTGAGTCTCTTTTTATTTCATGTCTTGTCTCACTCACATTAACTGGCGAGGATGGAGCGAAACTTCCCTTTGTGATAAATTGGTTAAGTCGAGGAAAGAATTTTCCGCAATTCGAAAACCAGGCAAGGGGAACGGTTATTTATTTAATCGTGATTCTCCTTCCGTTAAAACACAAATATTGTACATCATATGTACAGTCGACTATATATATATGGACCTCGTGTCGACTCAGAAAGGTAGAATTTCTGAGACGAAAAGAACGTTTATGATCAACGATTAGAAATAAAATTTTATTGAAAACGGAACATTAAAAAATTGTTTATCTAAAAAAATATTTTTTATAATTTGTTGATAAATAAAAACTACAAGAAATATTTTTCAGAAAAAAAAGTATAGAATTTTTCATTTTAAAAAACTATTTCTTAAAAAATCGTATATCATAAACGTTGCGTACTTCAGCATCGTGGACTGACGAGCGGTCGTTCTTCGGGGAGAGCTGAAAATGGCCGATTACTACATAAAAGCCTTTACTTGAACGTGGACAAGACCGAGAATCACATCGACAATAGCGCAGTTCACTCTCAGTTGTTGTTACATTAATTTGTATTTACTCTACATTTAAATCAACAAAATTTTGATTTACCTGATTTTTTAAATAAAATTGGAACGAATAAAAATGAAAATTTGATAAAACAAAGATATTATATTATTTAAAAATTTTATTAATTCTGTTAAATGAGAATTACTATAAATTAAACAATAATTTATTTGAATGAATTATTGATTTTAATAATTAATTATAAATCAAATAATAAAAAAATTAATTTAAATTTATTAGATAATATTCTTTTCAAATAAATGGGAACTTGAATTTTTAGTCCTTATATAGTTGATGTTTGACCTTCATTCGACAGAAGAAAATTTAATTTACAGTGTCAGGAATCAGCTAAAATTGTTCGATTCTCTAACTGAAAGTAAACAGCTGAATACTTTAGTTATTGCTGATAACTGCTAAAATAAAAACGAGATCCATTTTTCAATTAATGTTGGAAAAAAATAAAATATATTAAAGACCTTACAAATCGATCTGTCACTATTAAATTTCAGAGATGAATTTTATTAACAAAGAATTTTCAATTTAAAAAATTTAAGGTCAATCAAGATCAATTATAAATTTATGTTCTTTTATTAGAAGAAAGTACCAAAACTTTTAAATACTTTAAAAGGGGGGTTTTTGGGCTATCTGGCAGTGATTTACAAAACTGGCATTACAATATTTTGAAAATTCAAAATGAGTTGTTCAAAATGCCAAAAAAATTACTTACTTATATGTAATTACTTATATGTAATTACCATCAGAGAGCTGGCTTCAGGAGATGTTTTTTGGAAAAAGCCATCCATATACCCACATAACAAGGAATATCCCATTTTCATCCCTAGGATAAAAAGGGATATCTCGTGGAGAATATCCCTAGAATATCTTACGCGAGAATTATATGCCAAAACGTCATTTATTTTTTTTCTTTTACGTGTGTTTTTAAATGTAAATCAAACGATTTTTCCGTTGTCATTAAATTTATAATAAAGAAAAATGTTTAAAGACGTCAACGTTTTACGTAATGTGGATTTTATATATGAAAAATGATGCCGTATATTACTTTTGTCTATATTTTATTCAATAATATTAGTAGTAAAGTTTTTTCCGTCAATAATTGATAAGTAAATTATAATGTTCCTTTTATTTATTTATTTTTGTTTTATATAAACTAATTTTGTGTTCTTATCCTGACCTAAAAAATTTTAAAAGCAAAAACAATAGCGAGGGATATATTACTGTTGTATGGATAGTTATAATTATATGTATTATTTATTAATTACACAGCTCCACAAAAAAAGTGTCGTGCGCGGCGGACTAGACTAGTCATTTCTTATGTATTTTGACGCGCTGAATACGAATTCGAAGTCCGTTTTGCTCCATCACGTCAGGATTTTTTTCTAACCTTAAAAAACCTTTCTGATTTTAAAAGGTAGGCTTTTTTTAAAATTGATTGATCCATCAATTTTTAAATTTTTCGTCCGTCATTTTGGATTCGCCATTTTGAATTTTGAAAATCTAACTTCTGATTCGTAACCAGCGACTTAAAAAAACCCTAGATACCAAGTTTGAAGTAAATTCATCAATTTTTTAAAAAAATAGCCTACCTCTCAAAAAGCCAAAAGGTTTTTTAAGGTTAGAAAAAAAATCCTGACGAGATGGAGCAAAACGGACTTCGGATTCGTGTTCAGCGCGTCAAAATACATAGGGAATGACTATACTAGTACGCCGTGCACGACATTTTTTTGTGGGGCTGTGTTAGGAGTTGAGTTGTACTTCTAATTAATAAATTTTTAATTTTTCATTGTTATATTTATTTTACATTTGAAACACTTTTAAATAGTAATATTTTTTCTAAAAAAGAATTTTTTCGTTCATTTGAATTTCTTTTAATTGTAAAAAATAATTTAATAATTTTAAAATTGTAGAAAGAACATTGTACAAAATAAGCATTTAAAACTACAGCACAGCGCATGCGCAGTATACATAAGCTGATTATCCCGGATGAAAAAACTTGTACAAGAAAATGTACAAGTTCTTGTACATGTTCATGAATGAACTCGTAAATTTTCTTGTATATGTTCCCTCACAACAAAAGGATATTCAGGATATCCTTGGGACGTCCTGGGGATATCGATTTTTTTTCGGCGGTTTGGATATCCCTGGGATATCTTAGAGATGTCCATGGATATCCAGAGGATATCTTAGGGATATCCGAATCGCCAAAAGCAAATGGATAACCCCAGGACGTCCCAGGGATATCCTTAATATCCTTGTGTTGTGAGGGTTCAATTAATGTTCTTGAACAAGTTGAGCATCCGGAATTGAGACATGTTCTTTTATCAGAACTTGTGCAAGATTTTGGACAAGAAAATATACTTTTACAAGAAAATGTACATGTTTTTGTACCTATTCTTGCGCAGGTTTCATGTACAAGTACTTTTACATGAACACGTTTATGTTCTTGTACAAGAACATTTGTACAAAAAATGTTTTTGAAAAAAATTTGAAACTTTAATAAGTTATAATTATTAAGATTCTTCACTTATGCATGCTAAAAATCATTGCGCAGCTGTAAAGGCTTAAGAAAACTACTGCGCAGCCTTTAAAATATTTAATTTTTAATTTAAAAAACAAAAATGAAAATGTACAAGAAAATGTTCCACATCTGGTACAAGAAAATGAACATGAAATCTGCACAAAAAAATTTGTACAACAATACCCAGTGGACAAAAAAACATGTTCGTTCTAAAAACGTTTTATGGACGTTTTTAGAACGTTTCATGTCCGCCAAATAATGTTCAGGAACATTTTAAGAACATAGATGTTCAAATAATGTTCCAGAACATTATTTGGCAGACATGAAAATTTTGTTTTTTGCTCACTGGGCATGTACATTTTCTTGTGCAAGTTTTTTCATCCGGAATGGCTGAGATTCAATTTTATTTCAAAAAATACTTCAAAAGAAAGAATTTTGTTTTTGGAAAACTATAATTGGCCAAGTAGAATCAATGAAATTAGTGTGATAAACCAACGTGTAATCCACCAAAATAAAGAAAATGTAAACTTGAAAAATTAGTGAAATATCAGAAAATGAAAAAATTAATCAACAAACTTAGAAAATGAGAATAAAAATTAAATATCGAAAGGTGATATCTTGATTTTGACCAATAATTTTTTAATTAAATATTCAATTCCTCTTCATAAATTATTATTATTTTTGATTTTTAGAATGTCAAACCTCAAAATGTCTCGACTGACAAAACAGTCGAAAATGTGACTACTCCAAACAATGAATCTCAAAAAGTAATTATACATAATAATTTTGCATTATATGTAATATATAGGGTAAATGTGGTTATTATCGCGGGATTTGGCTAAGTACTTCACTTAAAAAAATATTTTAAAATTATTTTCACATTGACTTTTGATATTGTTAACATGGAGAAAAAATACATTTACTTTTATATGGATACCCAGTCGGAAAAAAATCACGTTCGTTTTAATAACGTTTCATGTCTGCCAAAAAATGTTCTGAAACATTTTAAGAAAATAGATGTTCAAATAATAACAATAATAATCAATAAATAATGTTTCCAAAGGGAGTTTTTATACTAAACACGAATCCAAAATAAAAAATTTTCAGCTTTTTTAGTAGTTTTCTACTAAAAATTAGTAGAAAACTACCTATAGAAATAAAAAACGAATTCTCACTGTTTCATTAATATAATTTTCTACACTGAGAAAAGTTAAACACAGATTTCGTACTAAACACACGTTCAGATAGTGAACCTAACCTTTCGAGCAACATCGGTTCTAAATTGTATCGCAGCTGCGCTTTTTGGTGGACAGATACTGTACTAAATCGTTTGTCCCACAAGTTAGGTCAGAATCTGTACTCAATTGGCGCTGCTGCTGTTCGATTTTAGTACTGCGTCTGCACATAATTGAGGTACAATATCTGTCCCTCAAAAAATGCACATGTTGCGTTAAACTTCTCTCAGTGTACTAATTCATATTTAGAGAGTATGTGAAAGAAACAATTTGTTTGTTACTAAACATTTGCAGTATCATTATAAAAAAGCATATGCTTCTGTAAGTGCAAAAAAAATTATTTTGAAAGGTCTTCGGAAAGTGGCCGACTGATGTCGCATGCATACTTTTTTTCATTATATCTAAATTTAAATAATACTTTCTCTTATGATGAGATTATAAAAAATTTAAATTCAGATTTTTTTAAACTATTTTTTTCCTTTAAAAATGTTCTTAAAGCGAAAATTTCCTTTTTTTATTGAATTGTGTCATATACTGTTTAGTTGTGCCAACTAAAATTTGAGAACAAAATTTTTTGTTGCATCAGCTAAATTTTGGTTGCATATATATTAACTTAAAAGTTTTGTTGCTTACTTTAAGCTTTTTTTTCATTTCTTAAAATTCAAAATTATTTTCCAATCTTTATCGCAGTTTATTCATAAGTATAAATAATATAAATTTCATATTTTTCTACATAAGAGCTTTATATATATATATAAACTTTAAAGTTCTTTCTCGCTTTTCTATCTTTACTAAAAAACGAAGTATTTAACTTTTCATAATGTCTTTAATTCCTAGAGTGGGCAAACCATAAAATGCTCGACAGTATACATAGTCGTATAAATAGTTCGAATTTTATATATCCCGTGATAATATTTACGTTTAACCTATTACACAGTTTCAAACTAAGCACTATCTTAATCAAAATAATTTTTTTAAGTGCGAAGAAATCGAAAAGTTGCAAGTTCAATTGGCAGCAAAAGATGCTGAAATTATTAACTTAAAAAAAAAAAATCGTGACATTAGAGAGGAAAATATTATGTTAAAATCAGAAAATCATGCATTTAAAATCAGCCAACAGGGAATGAAGGATGTGCTGCTTTCAATTAATCAAAACGTGTCAAGTCTCGTAAATAATCGAGCAACAGATCTAGTTCCAGAAGAATCTTCCTCTTCTTCTGCAGAACCCACGAGGGTAAATTTTTTGTGTTGTTATTTTGCAAAATATAGAGGTGATTCTCCAAGTAGCGTATAATTTTATGTCTCTTATATTTTTTTTATAAATTATTTGGATAAACTTAAATAAATCCAACGTTACAAAGTAGCTTTTATGTTTACAAGCAATATCCTACAGTCACTTTTTCATATCAATATAATTTCTTTTTCACTTGCAAATTAGAGAGTTAAATCATCATAGTGAAGTCTGTCTCCAGTACCACTTACAAATTTGAAATTGATAGGGTAGAGTCACCACGGTCAGACTACGTTTTGAATTGTACCCGTTACATCCGTTAAGGACGAACTTCCCTTTTTCGCATAGGATTAGAAACATTTTCTTGTACGCCATTTTGGATCTGACATTTTGAATTTTTGAAAGTAGACATCGGATTCAAAATGATCGATCCCAAAACCCTTATAATATCAAAATTCAAGCGAATCCATTGACTTTTTAGCAATTAGAAGAGTATTGCCCAAAATTCTTAAATTTTTATTTACTTTTGACACCATATTGGTCCACCATCTTGAAATTTTTAATTCTACTTTACATTTCTCAAAAGTATACAATTTTAACACCGAAGAATTAATGTTTTTTGTGTGTCATGATAAAGCCTCAGCGTCATGTTAGAGCAAGATTAGAAGTAGTTTAGAATTTAATTTTTATTAAATTTAAAAAAGAATGTCAGAATAGCAGTAACTAATTTTTACACTACGTGGAGAATAGCCCATTATCACTATCTTAACTCCACAGATAAAACCTTTTTTTTTAAATAACGATTTCAAACATTTTTACAAATATTTTCAATTTAAAAATGGTATTCAATTGGATCAAAATGGAAAAAAATTTTCAGTTTGAAGACTAATATGGTAGGATCTTTCTTTCATCGTATATCTAAAAAAAGTAATCCGACCTTGAGTTTGGTTTCTGATTACATTTTGCATGCCCTGCTCATTTCGATATAGCGGATCTAAGTAAATTATAGATGTCATATAATTACGAAGCTGAAGTACGCAACGTTTATGATAAACGATTTTTAAAGAAATAATTTTTTAATTTGAAAAATTCTATAATGTTTTGCCTAAAAAATATTTTTTTATAATTTGTTAATTAATGAAAACTACAAGAAATATTTTTTAGACAAAAATTTATAGAATTTTTCATTTTAAAAAATTATTTCTTTAAAAATCGTTTATCATAAACGTTGCGTACTTCAGCTTCGTATATAATTAAGTATCGAAGATATTTACTCACAAATATATACAAAATAAAAATCTGGGTTTATTTTTGTTACTGACCATACTGAATTCTGGATTAAAAGTAATGGGGAAACTTCATACAAATCAAAGATGGGTGCATCCACCAGGACTGCAAAATGGAAACTAGAACCGAACTGAATTTTGGACTAGATTTTTCTCTTTCTAAAGAAAAATACCTGCCATATGGCAGTCTTCGCACTTAATAAAAAATTTTCTTGTGTGTCCGGTTTATTAAACATTTAACATTTTAGCAGTTTTCTTAAAAAAGAATGCACTTTTTTTATTTAAGTTATTAAAAAAATTTTAGATCCTGACTAAAATTGCGGGTGTTTGCATTGAAAAATTTTCACTACAAAGAGCTCAACATTCCCTCGAGCTCGATGAAAGATTGCGAAACATTATTCTGGGCTACTGGAAACCCAGTGATTACAAGCTTTTGGCTAATGCCAGGCCACCTGAAGGCGTTTCAAAAGAGGAAATGATTCCAATAACAGACAGACATGCCTATGAAATACTCAGTACGTATTTTTAACTTCTATTTTGGTGAGAGTCGGGTAATATTGCCTTTATCAGGTACATTGTTGTTGCGGATACGTTATACATTAAATATCAGTTTTTTAATTTGTATAACTCGCTCCCGGTTATGATTTTTTGTAGTTGAGACACAGGTTTGAGATAAAAGATCACCCTATTGAAAATCCCTGTACAAGATCTTGTACAAGAAAATGTTCATGTTCAGCAGCTGAACTTGTACCTGTTCCGGTGAGAACATGTACAAGATCTTGTACAATTTCGGCAAGGATTTTCAATAGGCCAGTCTTAAGTTGTCTAAATAGAGCTCTGTTCTTAGTTGTAGCAAAGTAACTTTTTTATTTAAAGCAAATTTTGTTAATAATAATAATATTAATAAATTATTATTGTTATTAATATTATCATTTCCATTTTCATTTCATTATAGATGTTGCTATTGCATTAGAGAAAGAAGACATCCCACCACTTGAAAAACTTGCGTCTGCGTTGACAACTGAAGATTTAAAAAAAAAAATAGGAGGCGTCATTAAGAAAGAAAGGTTTAAAAAGAAACCAAAGCAAATTGAAAATAAGTATGTGAAAAATTACCATTCATTTAATAGAAATCCGCTTCAAATGAATTCATTACCACACTTTTATAAAGTATTAATTTGTTGAAATTTTTTTTGTTCGTTTAAAATGTTCTTGGATTTATTTATATGGGTGATTCTCCGCGTAGTGCACAACTCAATGTCCCTCGTATTTTTAAAAAAATCAATTGTACATATTGCAATAAATCCAACAGGAAAAACTAATTTCTATGTTTACAAACAAAAGCCCACAGTCGTTTTTATTCAAAAGTTTATAATTTAGCTAAAAAGCTGTTTTAAGGAGCCAAAATGTCATGATATGACCTGTTCCCAGTACCACTTTTATAAAAAAAATGTTATATTTAGTAAAGTATAGTAATCAATATAAAAACTATTGATAGTTTCGTATTGTTTATGTTAGTAGAATTGTGAAAAACAAAGCATTTGTGAAAAAAAATTTATTTTATTTCATTTTTTGGGTGTTAATCCTTGATCCTCGTTTTTGCGTCATGGTATACCCTTTTATAAAATAGCATTTTTTTACATAAAAATCAAATCGAATACTCAACCTTAGTTAACAGCAACAATAAGCTCTCCTAAGTGAATTACTAAGAGGGAAACTGCTTTCAGAATTACTTTTTTTGTTTTTCACACATCAAAAGCATCAAATGTGCATAGGTAATAACAGAATCGTCATGGTATAGCCTTCAAATATTTCTCAATAAAATTAATAATTATTTATTTTTTATGTCAATTGAAGTGCAGTAGTATTAGTTCAGTGAATATAAATAACAAGCATATGAAACAGATTGAAAATCGATAATACATTTTTGAAAAAATCAGTTTTTCTTGTGCGTCATGGTAAGGCTTTTCCTCCATTGAGCGGCGTGTATCACTCAAGTGTCTATAAGTGCACATAGAAAGTGAAGCAAAACAATTTGTTTTAAACATTGAACTTTAAGCAAGTAATAAATAATTACATAAATGTCTATATATTACCGCATAAATTTCCATAAACTACTGCATAAATTTCTATAAATTACCAAAATCAAAATTTTTAATTGTCGTTCGCGCTATGTTTTTTTTTGTAAATTACCGCGAAAATTTCCATAAATTACCGAAATAAAAAATTTTAATTGTCGTTAGCGCTATGTATATTTTTGTAAATTACCGCGAAAATTTCCATAAATTACCGAACTTAAAAATTTTAATTGTGAGTTATGCTTTCATATTTTCATGAATTTTAGATAAAGTTTATATAAATTACCACATAATTATTCCATAAATTACCTCAAAAATTTCCGTAAATTACCGAAATCAAAATTTTTAATTGTCGTTCGCGTTATATATATTTTTGTAAATTGTCGCGAGAATTTCCAGAAACATTGTAAATAAAATGTACACTATTTTATAGAATTCAAGAAGCAAAGAATTTTTTTTAAATTTGTTTAAAAAACTTAAAAAATTATGAACAATTTGTCCGACCCACCATGGATATTTATTTCTTAACACTTTATTTTCAAAAATATGTATTGATATTTATCATTTCAATAAAATAATATTTTAAAGTTTCAGACACCAAATCGTGCGCTACGCGGAGAATCACCCATATATTTCCTTATATGCAGGAAGTAATGTTTAATTTTTGAGAAATTTTTTTTTGTGAGGAATTTAATGGTCATAAAAAATATTAAGTAAAAAATTATTTTGGCCCTTTTTCGAAAATCGAAGAAAATTAATTTTTTGCTAACAATAAAATATTTTAAAACCCATCCATAATTTTTTAGAAAATGTGTTTTTTTATTCAAAAGAAATTTGAAAGCTGCAAAATGTTAATTTTGCTTTTGCTACTTTAGATGCATTTTTTCTGGACGCATGAATATGCACCACATGTCAATTAACCAAACTGTACTTTAACCGAAAGGCCAATTGACCGAATTGTCAAATATCAAAATTAACATTTAACCGAATTCTATTAATTGACAATTCGATTAAATGACGTGTCGATAAAATGACATGTTGGTTAAATGACATGTCATTTCTGTCCATTGCCGTGTCGGTTAAATGACAATTCTATTGTCCGACAATTCGGATACTTGACATTTCGGTAATTTGTCAGTTCGGGCGAACGATAATTCTCTTAAATGTCAATTCGGACAACTTAAAATTATGTTAAGTGAGTTTTTGGTTTAGTGACAATTCGGTTTAATGACAATTCTGATATTTGACACTTCGGTCAAATAACAATTCGGTTAATTGTCCTTTCGGTTAATTGATATTTTGTGCATATTCATGGGTCCCATTTTTTTCTATTTATAAATTTCTATTTTTTCCTATTAAACTTTGTTTTATTAAAAAAAAATTGACAGCTCGAAAAATTTAATTTTCCTACTTCAGATGCACTTTTTTCGATTTATAAATTCATTTTTTCTCTCACTCATGTCCCTCCCTCCATGCTTAGCCATTTCAATCTAACAAGCTCAAACTTGGTACCCATTCATATTTTTGCGCTTAGATTACAGAAAAATTATATTCAACTACATTGGAATTAATTTGAATATGGTTTTTAAAAGAAAAACTCATTTTTCCTGAAAAAAAGGTATTCCATACTTTAATTTTGACAATTTAAAAGCTACAGAATTGAAATTTGCCATGCATGCGTATTTATAATTGTAGTTTGTGAGAAAGTAATTAAAAATCTCTTTGGAACTAATTTGAATAATGTTTTTGAATAAAAATTTATTTTTTCTAAATTAGTAATTTTAAATAGTCGCATCAAAAATAATAAAATTTAAATTTTTGAGCTGTCAATTTTTTAAAATTAAAAATTTTTTTTTAATGCAATGACTTTTTTATTTTCAGACAGCTTTCAAAGAGTATTACCAAAGAAAATGCAGAATAAATGTTATTAGAAGAAATATTTCAATCTTATTTAAACTTTTAAAAAGTTTAATGTAAATTTTCGTTTTAAAGATAGTATTTTATTGATAGCAATGTTGCTTCAATGTGTAATGTAAATGTAATTTAAGTTAATTTCAAATGTAACTAACCGTTTTGTTTAAAAATTAAATATTTTTATAAATAAATATGAAATATTTAACAAGTAACTTTTATATAGAATGTCTAATAGTCTTGGAATCAGACGAATATTTTGAAACATATTCGACTATTTCCACATTATTAGGACATCACTTGTAATTTACTTTCTTTGCGAAATAATTTCTCAGATATCGCCAACCGAGGTAATTTTATTCAGAAAATCGCAACTTTTATACCAAATGCTTCATTAAAATTAACAATTATAAAAAAAAAATTTCAACTATTGCGTTTTGTTGTGGACATACTATTGCAGATTTCCATTCAAGTTAGATGCTGTAAAAATTCTTTTTGCTGGAGTTAATGTTATAGAAACATAAAGTTGTGGGTGTAATAGCCCCGCGGTTGTGGAAAATATAACCAGCAAAGTTTGTTTATTCATAAAATAGCCTACAATTTTTTATTGATAGTATAGTCTGTTCAAAATCTTTTCTGTAGATAGTCTAAAAATTTTTTTACAGGCATTGTTCAACAAATTTGAAAATAAAGTACTGCATTTTTAATAAAATGTACATTTAGTAAAAAAGTATACATTTTTGTATTAATTATGTAGCAATTTAAAACTAATGAGCCTTTTAATATATTCTCAAAGGAAAAGTTTTAAATTTAACTCGAAAAACATATAAATATTGACAATTTTTTGAGGATATGATGCATTTCTTGTTAAATGCTGGTTTTCCATACTTTTCTCTTAAAATGCACAATTAAAATTATCGCGCTACGTATACATCATCACAACTAAATTGTCAACAATTATTTGCAATATTGTATGAAATGCTATAAAACTTTCCGAGATCCAGTATAATGTATACGAACCTGCGAAAGTTTTTTTTACCAGACTCACGACTATATAAATTTTGTTCTCTTAACTTACAAAAATGAAGTAATTTCATTTAGTACCTTTGTAGTTAAACTATCAATCATTGCCTATACTAAATGGCAAATTTAAACATTTTAATACAAAGATTTCACTCATTAAAGGTTACCAATGGTTATAATAGTTTTTGCATGGGTAAAATTATCCAGGTTGACCGTAAATGGCAAATTGAATACTATTCTAGGTCAATGACTTGCGTCTATCCTTTCTGTCCTAAATCTCTATTCTTTTTCACAGCAATTGGATATTATTATAAATAATATTCACGATATTTTTAACACATAATTAAAAATTACAAACAGAATTGATAATATGATGTTAAGGGGTTACGCCACCCTGAACGCCTGAAAATTGGTATTTCTATTTCATTTCAATTAATATGCAATTATTTTATTCATTTTATTTCAAAAATAAATTTTGACAAAACTATTACAAATACAACTTTTTAATAATTACAGTTTAAAAATACAATTTTATTAATTGTCAGTAGCAAGAACTGTTAGCAAGTGATAGTAAATCTTAGTTACAGCGCAATAGTTATTTTCGAACACATAACGTTTTCAAAGCAATAGTAAAAACACTACTTTTTTGCGTTTTTGGCAAAACGTGTTTTTTCGCGCGCCGCCCTATTGAGAATCCCTGTACAAGATCATGTACAAGAAAATGTGCATGTTAAGCAGCTGAACATGTACCTGTTCTAGTGAGAACATATGAGGCAAAATTCCTGAAGTGATCCAATTTTAAAATTGAAGGTTTTTGGATCGGACTGAAATTTGCACAAAGTTTAGTACTATGGGTGAGTACTTCACCCATAAATTATTACTAAGTTTTATGCAAAACTGTAGAGGGGGGAGGGGGTTCAAGTTTCTCGTCAAATATGAACAGTGGATTTTTTAAAAAATCCTAACTTCTACATAAATGGATAAAAAAAATTTTGACCTATATGTTTCGAAAGGTTTTTTTCTGCTCTTTCGAATGGTGAATTTTTTTTAAATTCCAAATTTACCCCTTTTTTGAAAATCAAAAATATTTTTGATTTTTTTTTCAAAAGGACACTTTTTTTTCTTTTTTTACCCTCAGAATGAAGCTTAAGATATATACTTTCAATACAAAAAAAATAGAATGACGTTTTTTTTGTTTTCGAGATATTAATTAATTAACTAATTAATGTTTATAACAAATGAAATATTTTACAAACAAATAAAGTTAACGTAAATCTGAAGTTAGCAATTGAAAGTTAACGTAATTCCGCATCCAACGAGCCCTATATGAAGTACTTTGGTTAAGTAGATTGTTAATAAACAATTGCAATGTTAACTATTTATTTATTAACAATCTACTTCACCAAAATACTTCATATAGGGCTCGTCGGATTTGTTATAGATTTGTTATAAACATTAATTAGTTAATTAATTAATATCTCGAAAACAAAAAAACGTCATTCTATTTTTTTTTGTATTGAAAGTATTGGATCACTTCAAGAATTTTCCCTCATATAAAATGTTATACAATTTTGACACAAGAATTTGGAACAGGTTCTTGTACGAAAATTGTACAAGATCTTCCATAAGATCGTGTACAAGAAAATATATATTTAATATTTGTATACAATAAATTAAAACTCTTTACTTATGCATGCTAAGAAGTATTGCGCAGCTGTAAAATCTAAGAAAACTACTGCACAGCCTTTAAAGTATTTAATTTTTACTAAACAAAGACATAAATAAAAATCTTGGTTGAGATTTGAGACCTGTAGGTTGCATGGCACATGAATTTCCTCCCTTAACTGAAGTACCTTATTTAGTTCTAGATCGCACGGAAGCTTGCGGCAACGGAGTCAATGGAAACTTGTTACTCGGTGGTTTTTGGAGTCGCTGACTACGAATTCGATGTCACTTTTTGAAAATTCAAAAACTGTTGACTAACAAAATTTGAACAAATTTCGGCAAATTTCAAATATTTTTTTGTTCCATATTGGATCTGATATTTAAAATCTTTGAAAACCTATACTAAATTCGTGATCTGACACCTCAACAATACCCAAATAATAAGTTTTAAGTGAATCCAGGGTGTCTAGCGGTCAGGGAAACGTCAGGGAATTTTGTTGGTCAGGGAAAAGGCAGGGCATTTCAGAAAATTTCATTAAAAGTCAGGGAAATTTCTGTAAATTTCTACAAAATTAAAATTTTTTGTGAATTTAAAAATTTTTTAATCTACAAAAACTTGAATTGTTTTTATTACCATTTGTTACCACCATTAGAAATTAATTTATTGTTAAATATGTCAATTATCATATTTTTGTCCAAAGAAAGCAGAAATAAGGTTATTGAAAAGTCAGGGAAAAATCAAAAAATGTCAGGGAGGAGTCAGGGAATTTTTTTCTCAATCCTTGTTAGACACCCTGGAATCCGATGAATTTTTGAAAAAGTCCTCCGCCATATTAGATCCGCCATTTTAAATTTTCAAAATCTGATGCAAGATTCGTAATCAGCGACCCCGAAAACCCCCGAGTAATAAGTTATTTGTATGCGTATTTGTGATATGTAACTTGAAACTTTTTATAATCACTTCATTTTTTCACAAATAAATGCAATAATGATAAATAATTTCTTCTTTAAGCTTGTACTTTCTACTACCTCAAAAATTAATTTTTTCGCATCTCCTTCACTACATACTCATTTTTCAAAGGAAATAATAAAAATTTGAACATATATTTTGTTATATCATACTTCAGACAGATTACCAAATTATTCTTATAATTTTAATTAAAAAAAAAATATTCCGCAGCAATTTTAATCAAAACCGAATTAATTGTAATAAACTTTTATAAAATTTCAGACTCAAAGGACAGAGCAAAAAAATAATGTCAGACATTGAAGATTTAAGTGAAGATGAAATGGGAGCCAGAGTAAATGATAGTAATAGCGAAAATTCAGAGGATGAAGAGGACTTTTTTTTCGATCATGATAATGCAGATAATGATGATAATGAAGAGGTTTTTGCGGACGACGAAAATCTATCTGACGAAGAAGAAGAAGAAAATGATGAAAATGCAATGGAAATTGATGCAGAAGTTGCAGTGATTGACAATATTAATGCAGCAAATCCTATTGCAGTTAATAATGATGACAATCAAGAGGAAGAAATACCAAATTTACAAGAAACATTTTTTAGAGGTATCAATACCATCGGTTTACGCGTGCCATTAGAACATAATCAAAATTTACGAGCTATCGATTATCTCTTAGTAGCATTAACGCGAGCGGTACGACACAATTCAACATACGAACATTTAATTGATGATTTGAAATGGATTAAAAAATGTTTTACAGTTATTAACATGCCGACGACTAAAAAAGCTTTGTGGAAAATACTTGGTCGATCAAGAGAAAATTTGATATACCGATATTTTTGCGAAAAATGCAAACAACCAATTGGTGTGGGGCAAATAACAGTAAGATGTCGTTGCAGTAGATGTGGTCCAGGGCAAGAAAAAACATTTGTTGCAATCTTTATTCAAATTTTATTGAGACCCCAACTTACTGATTTACTACGCATTCCCAATATTGCCGAAGCATTAAATTATAGGGACAACAGGATAAGAATACACCCCGATGCAATAGAAGACATCTACGATGGTGAGATGTACCTGCGACTCAGTGAGCCAGGCAACTTTTTAAGTAACCCGCACAACTATTCTCTCACGTTCTGGACAGACGGTCTAAAAATAACTAGATCTTCCCGTGCTACAACATACCCAATTGTTTTTCAAGTCAACGAACTGTCACCGCATGCTCGCAAAAAACATTTGGTGCTGGGGGGCATTTGGGTAGCAAATGAGCACCCTATTATGAATCAAATTATTGGACCAATCAGAGACGAATTGAGGCTCATATATCGGCTTGGAATCCGTTGGAGTCCTGACGGCATTCGTGAAGTGATCAGTAGGTTCATAGTCACCATCTTAACAGCGGATTCCGTGGCAAGGCCAGACGTATTGCGTATGAAAAGATTTAATGGAGAAAATGGATGTCAATTATGTCTCGCTCCTGGACAAAGAGAAAACGATACCTGGGTTTATCCTGCCTTACCATTTGTGGAACGCACAGATGCTTCTATAAGGACAGATGGCTTAGCTGCTCTTCAACAAGGACATGCAGTTAATGGCGTCAAAGGCGTGTCGGCCTTAACAACATTTCCTGAATTTGACATGAGAGATGGTGTCGGTGTTGATGTTGCCCACAATGCTTTTCTTGGTGCAGCCAAAAGATTAGTTGTCAGATACCTGACTGATGCAGGAGAACGTTGGTATATAGGAACTCCAAACGAAATGGCTGCTATAAATGAAAGATTGTTGAGGATTAAACCACCGACAAGAATTTCTCGACAACCGCGAAGCATACTCCTTTACAAAATGTGGAAGGCATCAGAATGGAGAAATTGGCTTCTTTATTATGCACTGCCATGTCTTGATGGAATATTAGCTCAGCCTTATTTCAATCATTTGGCAATGTTGTGCCAGGCTGTATATATTCTTAATTCCGCTTCCATCACAGATGCAAATCTCAACCATGCAGATCGTTTGATTAATGACTTCGTCAACGATTATCAGAGACATTACGGTTTAGTAAATATGGTTTACAACGTGCATCTTTTACTTCACCTTGTACGATCAGTACGAATGTTAGGTCCTTTATGGGCATATTCTGCTCTACCATTCGAGTCATTAAACAAAAAAATTACGGATTACATAACAAGTCCAAACGGTAGAGCAGACCAAATCGTCACCCGATTTTTTATGAAAAAGTTCATAAATATTGCTGCAGGACAAGCCCCGATTTCACAAACGGCAAGGGAAGAAATGTGTCGTTTACTGAAGATAAGAGTTGAACATATAGAAGGCATGCCAGAAGGGCACTATTTTCTTGGTTTGGGTAGACTAAGAACTCGTAATCCTCAAGTTCAAGAAATAAATCTTCTCAGATATGCAGGATACGAAATAGAAAATGAAACGGAAATTACACTATTCCGAAGAGCTGAAATTCATGGGACAGAATATCGAGTTCAAGACAACGTTGAAAGAAAGTTTTGTAATCACATTGTTTTTACTGAAGAATACCGATTTTATGAAATTAAAAGCATATTGTCGTACAGACATCAGGATGTTACAGTCTCAGGAATCATCGGTCAACATTTAGAAAGCAATGGAAATGTGTACGGGACTCCCCACATGCAACGAGTTGTGCGACAAGATGGAAGGGAATTTATCAGGTTCGAGAGAGTAATAAGTCCGGGCTTCTTTATTCCGTTGACGAACGGATTGGCAGCTGTTTCTCTGTGCAACGTTTGGGAAACAGACTAGCAATGCACACAAGTAGTCACTGTACCATTAAAAAAAAACATAGGTAAATATTTCTAATTATTATTAATATATTTTTAATTATTCATCGGTTTTTCAAAAAAATTAAATATCTACTTTAAAAAAAAATAAAATGATTAATGCAGTCAACAAAATAAAAATAATTTTTTAGGTTTAGAGTGAAAAATATGTTTTTAAATATTTCTCAAGGGGTGACATGTCTTTAAGAAGTTTAAAAATAGTTTCAAATAACAAAGTGTAATATGATTAAAACTAAGGTGGAATAATTTTTAACAACTAATTTTAGACACTTAATTACCTCAAGAATTGACTAGTGATTGAACAAATAGTTTTTTTTCTATTTAGTACACATTTACATTTTAAAAAAGAATTTGTTAAAAACTCAAATTTTAATTTTTCTTTAAATTTTTGGTTCAATCAGAAACAGAAAAAATTTTGCTTTTTGATTTAGCATAAAATTAAATCATCTAGACCACCGTGGAAATAATTTTCACTGGGTGGTTTCAAAAAACTATATCTCAACGACAGAGTTGAAAAATTAGAAATAAAAATTTCATAAAAATACTTTAAATTGTATGTTAGTATATGCTTAAAACTTTCAATATTTCAATTTATTTATTAAGAAAAAAATAAAGTTTATAAATTATCTAGTAAAGTGAAATATAAATCACTTGTTCTTTCTCAATGTCATTTTTATGTTTTTTAGCTCGTAATAATGATGAATCTTCGAAATCTGCCAATCGTATAAGTACTAATTAAGAATGCGTACCTGAAATCGACACCGATATAGAATCAAGTATCTCCTGTTTTGGTTTTTCTAACTGTGTAAAAGGTTTTTAAGCAGAGATTGTTTTCACTGAATTATTGTAAGTAAATTTCAGTGTATTATACCTAATATTATTCGATTTTGTATGTTCTCGATAATGCAAAAGATGCATTTTAATTTATTTTATTCTTACGAAATGAAACTTCATTTGTACAACATATTTTTTTTAGTTTCCTATATAATCCAAAACTACTCGATTTTTATAAATAATAACTTTTATAACTACTCGATTTTTATCTATTATAAAAATTTCCCTAATATTATAAAAGGATTGTTACTCTAATACCCCTTTTACACCCAGACAAAATGGAGTCTTTAAAAAAAATTGTAGTAATTCTTGAGGAGGTCGCTGATTACAAATCGACCCAAATCGGTTGTTATTTTCTAAAAAATAACAAATGGCCGATCCTAAATACAAAACCATTTCCTAATAAAATACTAAACTTCTTGATTTTCAAGAAAACTATATACACCGAAAAAAATCGTCTTGTTTCAAGAGGATTCCTCTTATTTCAATGCATATTTTCCTCTATTATATGCTGAAAAAGGATGTCCTCTAGGTTTAAGAGGATTGTCCTCTAGGTAAAATTATTCCTCTTAATTTAAAAGGATACTCTTATTTTAAGAGGAAAATATCATCTTAAAAAGAACTCTGAAATAATAACAATGCAATCATCTAGTTTGTATGTCATAGATATAATCTATAAAATTAAAAGGAATAAAATTTGTTATTCCATGATTTACAACTATTTGAGTATAAATAAATTGAAATTGATTTTAATTTTTTTGAATAAATGAACTAAATCTATTTTTAATAATATTTTTATGCGCAAAACATTAAATTTGAAAATTTATTTTAAATAAATTTTAAATAAAATTAAAATAAATAAAATTTTAAATAGCGTAACCTCAAAATTATTTAAAGTTTTTTTAAAATTACTTTTAAAAATATTTCTTTTAAAAATTTCTTTTACCTTCAAAAATAGGCACGTTTTGTGTAAGTTTCAACTCTAGCAAGATATTTGAAAGATTATTATCCATTTTGGTTTATTCCCCTTTTCTCACACAAAAACTAAAACTTAATTTTCACGTATGATATGCGATTTATGGCGCGAAGTAAATGATATGACGCAATCATCTTTGCGCATGAGCGACTTTCTATGGGAAATCCTCTTAGAATTTAGAGGAATATTCTTAAACACAGAAGATTATTCTAAATTCTAAGAGTATTATTTTTATTCTAAAAAGATTATTCTGAATATAAGAGGAATGCTCTAGAATAGTCTTTTTGTTTCGATCTTCTTGATATTAGAAGAAAATATTCTCATTTAAAGAGTAATACTCTTGTTTTAAGAATAAAATTCAAGAGGATTCTGTATGAGGAATTTTCCTCTGAATACAAGAATATTTTTTTTCGGTGTACATGCAAAATCACTTACCTAAGTTCTTTATAGTTTTCTATGACTACAACCTACATAATCACCCCTACGACCTGAAAACGAAAGTTATTCTTAACTCTAAACTTTCATGAAATTAATGTCCCATATAGAGCATTTCGGCATACGGTAAAGTTAAAAGTTTGTCAATCATATTAAAATTTTTTACTGTAATTCAATTCATAATTACACTGTGTTACAAAAAAAATATGACTTTAAAAACTTCTTATCGGACCTAGTAGAGTTTGTAGAGCATAAAAAACTGAAAAGAATGGTGTATATTTAATTGCTTATACACCCTCAAAGTTTGATTTTAGGAACGAAATACCATTTTTTGTGAAAAAATCCTTGTAACTTCCTTATTTTTTGCCCGATTTCAAATTTTTTTTAAAATTTTTAAGCTGAAAAACAGATCTTTGCAACTGTATAAAAGATTTTTGTTGTATTTTCTTAATTGATGACGATAAAGACCAAATACTTTCAAAAATTTCGATTTTTTTATTGATTTTTCAACTTTTTGATCAATTTGTAACTGTTATCTGATGAGATATACCTTCTTTCTTTTTACACATCGAAAGTGTAGTCAATTCTGCTTCAAATGACCCCTAATTGGTTGGAATTCGTTAAAATTTGTCTAAGTTAGCAGACTTTTAATTTAATAGTCACATTAGGTTTCATGTGTGATTTATAGTTTTTTTTTAATTTTCGTAAAATTTAAATGTAAATGCTCTGTATTCTTTAATTTTAGTATACACAAAACATCTATTAAATTTTATGAAAATTAAAAAAAACTATAAATCACACACGATACCTAATGTGACTATTAAATTAAAAGTCTGCTAACTTAGACAAATTTTAACGAATTCCAACCAATTAGGGGTCATTTGAAGCAGAATTGACTACACTTTCGATGTGTAAAAAGAAAGAAGGTATATCTCATCAGATAACAGTTACAAATTGATCAAAAAGTTGAAAAATCAATAAAAAAATCGAAATTTTTGAAAGTATTTGGTCTTTATCGTCATCAATTAAGAAAATACAACAAAAATCTTTTATACAGTTGCAAAGATCTGTTTTTCAGCTTAAAAATTTTAAAAAAAATTTGAAATCGGGCAAAAAATAAGGAAGTTACAAGGATTTTTTCACAAAAAATGGTATTTCGTTCCTAAAATCAAACTTTGAGGGTGTATAAGCAATTAAATATACACCATTCTTTTCAGTTTTTTATGCTCTACAAACTCTACTAGGTCCGATAAGAAGTTTTTAAAGTCATATTTTTTTGTAACACAGTGTTATTATAGGAAATTGGTTCAGGTAATTGATTATTATTGCTAACATAATTATGTTCTTTTTTCGTTCTTCTTCTAAAATTCAATTTGTTACATATTTTGTTCATTTTAATAATAATTTACTAAATAAGTAGTGTAAAAGTTTTTTGGAAAAATATTTAATTTTTCATTTGAAATAATTTGTCTTTTTTTTTAGATCCAAAAGCGTGTAATCATCTCTTAAGTGAAAAAATTGCTTCCATCAAACTATGTGAATGACAATTATTGCAAGGAACGACTTCTTGAAATTAAACATCCAACTACAGTGTGCAATTGAAGATGAAACGCAGAGAAATCATCGAAGAAGCAAATAAAAAGAACTCCCTAAAGCAATGGTATAAAGGCTACTGAAACTACTGCTAAGCAGTTTTGTCAAAGAAATTTTGTTTTAAAGTCCGAAACTCAAAAAAAGGAAAACATATTTAAGTGATATAAATAATATGATAACTACGTTAATATATTGTAAAAAAGTGATTAAAATTTTTTGTACTGCTTATGGTCAAAATTATTCATGCGTGTGAGCAAAAAAATACTTTAATTTTTAACGATGAATAAATTTTTTACTATAATTAATATTATTAAATTATGCGTATAAAGTTTTCAGATAAAAAAATTGTCCTTGAAATTATTAATAATTTAATTTTTAAGTCTTAACCTTCGCTTGACAAGATGCCCACCCAGGGTGGGCCAGACAAATTTGAAATTGCCATATCTTCTAAAGTTTTTCCTTAATTGAATCACGATTTTAAGTCACTGAACAAAATCTTAAGAACTTTCAAAAAATGTAAAAACAAATTTTTAAAAAAAATTTCTTCTTGATTATTTATAACTTTTATCAATGTATGTACGGATATAACCGGGATGATTCAGATATTTTTTTAATTCTATTTTACAAAAAGACTTGAAATCATGCAGACTTTTCACTGTGAGTGTTTTATGATGTCAAATAATAGATATAAAAAATATTATATTTCATTTTTCATTTGTTTAAACAATTTATTGTTATTATTTATTAACTTTCTTTGTTCTGCACCTAGAAAGATGCAGTTTTTTTCTAATTTTGCAATTTATCAAGCGGAATATAATAAAAGATAGATTTGATGTAAAATTATTAATTCAACAATTGTTTAAACAATTTATTGTTGTTATTTATTAACTTTTTTGTAGTGCACCTAGAAAGATGCAGCTTTTTCCTAATTTTACAATAGGAAAAAATACTGCATTTTTCTAGGAAAATTATGAAAAATAATAATAAATAGCAACAATTATTTGTTTAAACAATTTATAATAATAGTTGTTGCAAATTGAATTATATATTTTATTTTATTTATAACCTTTGAATTAATAACTACGAAGAAAAGGTAACAAATTTATAAAATTCTTCTACTGTCGTATGTATATTTGAAAAAGTTATAAATTATTAATAATAAATTGTTCAAAAAATAAAAAATCAACAAAACATTAATAAAATATATTATTTGGTAACATATAACAATTTTGGAAAAAAACTGAATGATTCTAAGTTTTTATTGCAATATACAAAGAAGAAAACATTTGGCCCACCCTGGGTGGGATCTTGTCAACCGTGTATATAAAAAGTATCCAGTCCGGCGAAGGTTAAATAAAGAAATTTTCTTTTTTTTGAAATATAGTTGACAAAAATAATTATAGCGTTTAATTTGATAGTCTCTTTACACGTAATTATTATTTAAAACAAATAATAGTTGTTATTATTTAAAAAATTTATAAACAAATAATTATTAATTATCTTATTTTTTATTGAGGAACATTTTTTTCTCAAAGGTTTTATATTTAGTAGGGTACGTAATTTAAAATCGGTCAATTTTACTTCGAGAGAACAATTGCTTATTTAAAACTTGTAAAAAACTAAATTGTTAAAAAGTTATACAAAAAAAATTTTTTTATTAAAAATTTTAGAAACTTATTTTGAACTTTTTCTTGAATGTTTTTTGAAAGTTTTTGAACTTTTTTTTTGACTTGTTTGAAAAATGATGACCCCTTAATTATTAAGAATTATTTATTATGTTTTTGGTGCAATTATTGCTACAGCGAAAATTATGTTTGTTTCTCTTGTCACCAAAAAATAATTTTATAATAACGATTGACAGATTTCTTTTATTATCAATAATATTTCTAGAATTTAGTTTTATTTATATAATTAACAGGAGTCAGAGATGACATTTTCAGACATTTGAAGTAATTAATTTAAATTTTAGACAAAATAATTTTTATAAAAATGGTTTGAAAGTAATTCAATGGCTATTAAAAAATTGAGTAAACAAATTTTAAAAAAAAATTTAAATCGAAAAAATCTATTTTTTTATAAAAATTAAATATTTCAAAACTTATTCGTAATTTTTCAAAAAATATGTTTATATATTAAAAATAAATTAATATAACTGTTTTTGAAACATATTTTCGATTTAAATATTCATTTATTTTTAAACGGACATTTTTAATTTTATTATTAAAAATCAAAAAAGAAAATAATAATTTATATAACTTTTTAAAATGTTTTAGAAATTAAGAAGAAATTAATAAATTATTTTTTTCTTCAATTTTTAATACTAATGTGAAAAAAAATTTAATCGAAAAAAATGAATTAATAAAATTAAAATTCAAAAATTTTATCTGTCAAATTTTATTAATAAAAAACATATATTCTAGAAAATTAAGGATGGATTTTGAAATATTTCATTTTTAACAAAAATTTAATTTTTTTTCGATTTTCGAAAAATAGTGAAAAAATTTGTTTACTTAATTTTTTTATGACCATTGAATTCCTCGCAACAATTTAGTTTAAAAATGAATTTGTCACATAAATGAAAATGTCATCTTGGTTTCTTCTTTAACAAGTAAACATTTTTAATTTTTTTTAAAACATACAGCTATTTTTAATATTAACATTAAAAATTGAAAAATGTTTATAAGATTTTAAAATATTTTAGAAATTACAAAAAAATTATTAAAATTTTTTAGGTGTCAATTTAATTTTAATAATAATTTTTTTTTAATTACGGATGGGTTTTGTTTTATTCCAGTTTTACAAAAAAGTAAATTTTTTTCGATTTCCGATTGAAAAATGGTCAAAAATTTGTTTGCCTTATTTCTTTATAAATCATGGTATTCCTCTAAAAAATCAGTACAAAAAAGATTTTGTCAAAAATATAAATTAATTCCTTCATATAACTGAAAATGTCGTTTCAATCTTTTAATTTTTAAGTTGTTTTTATGTAAACAAATTTTAATGAATTAAAATTCTTTCCATTGATGTATTCTAAAATAATTAAATCGATTTAATAATTTTAATAGCATTTTTTTAAATTATACACGGAAAATTTGAAAAAAGCCTGTAAATTTTAAATTAAAATTTATCTAAAAATCATTTTTTATTAAAAAAATATTTTTAATTTTATGTAAATATTCCTCTTTCTTTTATGGTTACAATAAATTCAATTATTCAAAATTTAATTTTTTGAATTAAACATTTTTTTATTCCTGTTTTACCATTGTTATAGCAGAATTTTAGAAAAATTTACTGATTAATGTTTTCAATAGTTTTCTGCCTTGGAAATATTCAAATTTTTTTTTATTTATTAGAATATATTTATTAACCTATTTATTATATATTAAAATTTATTGTAATAATTGAAACGTCACATTTAATGCACTATTTTTATGCTACTTATTGCTTTTCACAATTAAGTGCTGTTTTTACCACAATAAAATTTTAAAAATGGCCCCTGTTTCATATCTATTTCACGCACATACAGGTATTCATGTGGTCGCATAGTTCCCGACATCCATTAGGTCTTGCTCAAAACATGCACGGTATAAGTAAATGTATTTTTATTGAAACAATTTAGATTAATCGATTAACACCTAAACATAAGAATTAAAACAAAATTTTGTATTTTAATTTTTACAAATAATAATATTTTTAAAAAGAAAAAACCCCTGCTGACATCTATGGAGTTTTGCGCGCGACAATCCCAGTGTCGGTACAATAGTATTTTACTTCACAACAGTTAAATTAAAGTGACAGGTGGGCACCTTTTGACTTTCAACATTAATAATAAGTTAATAAAAGCTGAATTCAAATAAATTATTACAGGAATAAAACCTTGGATTAGTTATTTATTTATTCCAATAGTTTTTTTCACCATTTTCCACCTTTTTCATGGGTTTTTCCACATCGAACCGAAACGTGACTGAAATCGGACCGAGTTCAGTCCCATTCCAGTCCATGCGATCCGCCAGGGAAACAATAAAAATAATAAGCTTTTGTTTACAATCGTCCAATTTAAAATCTGCTCCGCATGAAATTAAAGGCGAAATTAGCCTTTCTGGACATATAAAAAAAATGACATGCTGTTGCAAGGCCGGTTTGAGTGAAAAGTGCAAACATATTGTTGCAGTTTTGCTTCACTTGAATTTGTAAGTATTCTAATGTTGCACTATTTTAACAATATAATCTCTTTATCAAAATTAATAATTTAATAATAAATGTAATTAATTAATAGTAGTTAATAATTCTTTAATAAAAAATAATCTAAACAAAGCGATCGAATTTGAGGTTATGTTATTTATTTTATCTTTTGTTTGCAATAATAAATATTTGTTACGTTATTAATTTGAGTCGAAATTTATATGTATTTTTATTAAATTTATTAAACTTCAAGTAAAATTATTCCTATTATATTTTAAAAATTGCAGGACTGATATTTCGAATTTGGAACTCTGTCCATGTACAGACACAAAGTGTTTATGGTCTGCTCCACAAGAAAAAGCGCTGGAAATATATGAGCCAGCACCACTTCGAACTCACAACTGTTTCACAAATAATTTTGATAAAGAATATGCTCTAAACATTACAGGAGATGATGAGGCGTTTATAAAAGACTTGCTTTTTAAATGCGACCCGAATTCAGCACTTACAAAGCACATGTATGATTGACTTTCGTTTTATCCATTTAAATCAGTTACTTGAGATTCTTTATTCTTAATTGGAGAAGGTACCCTATTTTTATTTTTTTCACGTTTAACTCTTCTTCAACATTCAAATTTATGGCTTCTGTGATGCGAGTCAAAGGGGGTATGGTGAGTGCATTTATGTACGATCCGTAGATAATAAGGGAAACATTCAATGCCACTTACTTTGCGCGAAGTCACGGGTTGCACCATTAAAAACGATCACGCTTCCTAGGTTAGAACTTTGTTCAGCAGCACTCCTTAGCAATTTGTATTCGTCAATACGCAAGTGTCTGAATATGTCTGCAAACCAGGTAACATTTGGACTGATTCCTCTATCGCGCTCTCGTGGACTAACACACCCCCGCATCAGCTCAAAACTTTCGTTGCGAATCGAGTTTCCGATATTCAGGAAAAAACTAACGGTCACGATTGGAAACACGTCAGTTCCTTAGATAACCCGGCGGATAGTCTATCACGCGGTCAAAAACCTGCCGATTTCGTAGCAAACAAAACTTGGAAAGAAGGTCCCTATTGGCTCAAACAAACGGAAAACACATGGCCAGTATCAACGTTAGAAGTAATAAAAGATCCACCCGAAATTAAAAAGAGCATCCTTTTAACAGAAATATTTAAGCAATTCTCGTCTTACTCACATATGAGAAGAATTGTTGCTTATTGCTTGCGATTCAAAACGACCAACCACCGCAAGGGTCCATTACTGTTTGTCAAGTTAAAAAATGCTGAAAAACTATACTAAAGTTAATATAAGGGGAAGTATTTAGCGAAGAGATCAATGAACTCGAAAGGCAGAAAGAAATCAATAAAAAGAGTAATATTCTAGTACTAAACCCATTTCTCGATCAGGAAGGAATATTACGTGTGGGGTGACGTTTGAAAAATGCTACGATTCCTTTTTCTGAGTAGCATCCAGCTTTGCTCCCGAAAACGCATCACGTCACTAACATAAACATTCGCGAAGAACATTGCCGCAACTTGCATTCCGGGGTATTAACAACCTTATATTCCTTGCGTCGACAATTCTGGCTTCCTGATGGGCGAAACCAGGTTCGCAAAGTCGTACGACAATGTGTTGAATGCTTTAAAATCAATCCTATTAACACGGAATACATAATGGGTGATCTTCCTAAAATTCGAGTCAATCAAGCTCGTCCGTTTTCCCACGTAGGAATCGATTATTGTGGTCCTTTCTTTATAAAAGAAAAAAAATACCGTAATCGAACAAAAATTAAGATATATATAGCGGTTTTTGTTTGCCTCGTGGTAAAAGCTGTACATTTGGAGGTAGTAAGTGACGTGAGCACTGAAACCTTCTTAGGCGCACTGAGAAGATTCATCGGGCGACGCGGCAAACCTAATGTCATCAGCTCAGACAATGGGTCAAATTTTATAGGTGCCAATAACGAGCTAAAAGATCTCGGCAATCTTCTCCGATCTGAAAAATTCAATGAACAAACCGCTCACATCCTGAATGACCAAGGGATTGAATGGAAGTTCATCCCTCCCTTATCTCCTCACTTCGAAGGAATTTGGGAATCCGCGGTTAAAAGTTTTAAACATCATTTCAAACGAGTCGTGAAAGATGTTTTGTTCACATTCGAAGAAATAAATACGTTTGTCATCGAGATCGAAGCGGTATTAAATTCTCGCCCACTTACCCCCATTTCGAACGATCCTAATGACGTTATCGCCCTCACTCCTGGCCACGTCCTTATTGGCGATTCGTTAACAAGCCTACCTGAATTGAATTTTAAATTAACACCAACACCACGATTATCGAGATGGCAACACCTCCAAAAGATGCGGCAAGACTTTTGGAATAGGTCGCATAAAGAATACCTAAATGGACTCAACATGCGTCACAAATGGAAAAGTGGAAATCACCGAATTCGAGATGGCACCATTGTCATCTTAAAAGAAGATAACACTTCTCCTCTGCAATGGGTTTTGGGTCGAGTTACAAAAATATTCCCAGGATCCGACGGCGTCATTCGGACCGTAATTGTCAAACGTTTAAAGGCGAATTTAAACGCAAAGTTCGAAAATTGGCCCCGTTGCCTATCGATGAAAACGACGGTTAATAAAGCAGCAAACGATACATGACTTCGATGGTCATGAATTATTGTTCGATACGAGTTAATTATTATATGTTATTTCAAATTAAGATTAAGATTTGATATTGTTTGAGTTTAAGGGGAGGTTCCACTAGTTTTGATGTTTTTTTCAAAGATTTTTTTTTATAGTAAAAAAAATATTTTTTATTTTATATTTTGGCTATCGTGTTGACTAGAATAAGAATTTTTTATTAAAAAATAACCGAAGGACAGACTTTTGAATTTTTTTATCATAATTTTGCAACTTAAATTGTTTATAACTTTTTTAAATATTAATGAATTTTCAAAATCCTAGTCCACACGAAAACTACACATTCAAGGAACATGCTGTCCAAAAATCAAGTTAATTGGTTAAGTATTGTTAAAATGGGAGTGTGAACCAGTTGAAAATATGTGGTTTCGAGAAAAACGCTTTTAAAGTTTTTATATAAAAATTTTGGATAATATTTTTCAAGTTGACAAAAACTCAATGAATTCACTTGAATTTTGTTACTCGGGGGTTTTCGGGGTCGCTGATCACGAATTTGATGTTATTTTGTAAAAATTCAAAATGGCGGATCCAATATGGCGGACGAGTTTTACAAAAATTTATCGGATTAACTTTAAACTCATCACTTGGGGGTTTTTAAAACAAATTTATCGAAAACTTTTTAAATAATTCAAGAAAATGTATCAGTTTTGCATGTTCACATTAGGAATCATATGTTAACTGGTGCAACTTTGATGAACCCAGATTTCTCAGTTTTAGCATGGCAATGGGTACTGGGTTTTTTTACCTCTTAAGTGGTAAAAAAGGAATTATTGAGCAAGCCGTCTGCTCAATTGTCCAAACGACATCTGGACAATTGGACTGCTTGCTCAATAAAGTGATTACATTGAAATACAATAAATTCAACTGTTTCCTTCTTCAAGAAAAGAAAATTTAAATTAATAAATATAGAGTGTTACGATCAAACTCCGTAACCTTTTAAATAATTGTAAAAACAAATTATCAATTTGTTTTCTAAAAAATTATGCAATTGATTATCAATATCGAAAACATAATTACACAAAACACCTTCAAATATAAAATTGATAAAAGATAATCTAGATTGTTTCACAATTTAGGCTGAAGGGACTGAAGAACAAAAAACAGGGTTGTTTAATACGTTTCTTTGATTTTGACTACAGAATTATTGACCTTCTTTGGAAATATTGAGAAACATATAAGAATGTATATTTCTCAATATAAGGAGTGGTGAATCCAAGTCACTGAACTCGGATCACACCACTACCTAAATTTGCAAGATTGTACAAATGCACTTAGCAACAACCAAGTGCATTGAATTTGCAGTACGATTTCCCCATCAAAATGTCTTTTAATAAAATGGATTGACATCGGGAAATCGAGGCAGTTTAGCCAGGAGTTTTGAACCGAGCCATCGTAGCCGGTGGTTGTAATTCGGCAGTTTCAGGCCGAGAGTTTATCAAGCGTTTTTTTAATCGGGCAAAGAGCGTGTTTTATTTTAAAGTTCGGCAGTTAGCCGTGAATATAAAGAAAAAGAAGAATCAATACTCTGTGGTGGTAATTAGAGGAAAGTTTAAGAAATATTTAAAGAAATTGAGATTTATATATACGAAAATTAAAAGTTCATTCTCCTAAAATTGTGAGAAGCAAGAATTCCATCGAAGATTCAGCAAATTGGATAAATGCGAAAAAAAAGATACCACTTGTGAGTATTTCATAGCATCTCACCTTACACACACAGTATACCAACACATACATACAGCTCAGAGTTCGAGTTTCACAAACACAAACAGAATTAGATAAAGTTGTATTAGGGTTTCTTTTTTTTTGGGAAAATATATAATTGTATAAATTTTATCTTTGTGTTTCAATTAATTTAAATAAATCTGAAAATATCCTCTCCTTCCTTTTGTAAGAATAAGGTTCTCAACCTATTGGTTGAAATAATAGCCAATTAGAGGGGGAATCCACTACCTATTACAATTTTGTCCGAAGGATACGTTAGTTAAAGTTCACAACAATACTTTTGAATTCTAGAGATTAAATATCATAGAATTCTCCAAATTCTACTTTAACATAGAGTGTCGGCAAAGAAATATACTTTTACCTGCAGAATCACATGCACAGTAGCCAAAAAAAATATTTCATAAAATTCGTCGTTTTTGACAATTACAGATTCTTTTACAGTTTATTTTTGAATATGCGTGTGCCTCATGTTGCAGCATATTCACGGCGTAATAATTTATAATCGTTTTCAGTTTTATGCAGATAAATTTTGTTTGAAGTTTTTTTGTAGTGAGTGACAAAGAAGTTCAGAGAAGTTTGTTAATTGTTTGTGGCTTTGCGATTTCCTATCGTGATCTGCGTAATGTACAAGTTTTGACTCAATGTATTGCAGAATTTTTCCAGTTTAAAGTTCAGTCATGAAAATTTGTTCAGTGTTTTACTTATTTGGAACCTCACTTAGATAATTATTGAATTAATTAAATATCATTAAAATACATTTCGAAGTATTTCAATATTTTTGAATTATATTTCAATCAAAATGCCTACATACATACAAGCCCAAAATTTTTTAAATCTAGTTTTCATTGAAAGAAAATTGTGCATTAAAATACAAAATTATTTCTTTGATTTAAATGAAAGATTTCTTAAAACTAAAGAAATATTTCTTTGAGTCAACAAAGGAAACTAATGAAATAATTTCTTTAAATGAAAGAAATTTTTTTGAGCCTATAATAATGCACAAATTTTTTTGAAACAAAAAATTTTTCTGGGTGCATAAGGCTATATATACAATTCTTGAAAGTTAAACCTTTTCTAAAAATTATTTCGCGCTTGAAAAAAGCCCTTTTTAGAATCGCTATTGGTTAAAATATTTAACCAAAAGAAATAAAAGTTAAGTAATGAATACTTATTACTGGTCATTTTAAAGATGCTTCTAGAAAAAAATAAATATACATAAAACCTAAACGAAGATAAAAACCATGAATATAAAAACCTATTAATAATATATTTGAATTAGCATTTTCTCGCCTGAGATTCAAAAAGTGTATTGTGTGCCAACATGTGGGGAAGATAATTTTACTGGTGTTATATTCTAAAAAACATTTTTCTCAACATAAATTAAATTATATTTATGCTAATGTTTATGAATGTCTATTTTTTATTTAAAATAATTTATATGAAGTGTTTTTTTCTTTTTACCAGTGTCATATAAGTGAATATCAAGATCACGGTTACATCTAAATTCATAAGTAAGTACATAATTTAACAAAATACATTGAAATTAAGACTACGTCAATGTCTTTTTCTATTCAAAAATATTTAAAAATTTTATGATTAAAATAATTTTTATAAAATTATAATTTATATTTAACAGGGAACATTTTCTTAATTAAAAAAACGATAAAATTGAAATATCTTAATCAAACAGTAAAAACGAGCTAAAAGATCTCGGCAATCTTCTCCGATCTGAAAAATTCAATGAACAAACCGCTCACATCCTGAATGACCAAGGGATTGAATGGAAGTTCATCCCTCCCTTATCTCTTCACTTCGAAGGAATTTGGGAATCCGCGGTTTAAAGTTTTAAACATCATTTCAAACGAGTCGTGAAAGATGTTTTGTTCACATTCGAAGAAATAAATACGTTTGTCATCGAGATCGAAGCGGTATTAAATTCTCGCCCACTTACCCCCATTTCGAACGATCCTAATGACGTTATCGCCCTCACTCCTGGCCACGTCCTTATTGGCGATTCGTTAACAAGCCTACCTGAATTGAATTTTAAATTAACACCAACACCACGATTATCGAGATGGCAACACCTCCAAAAGATGCGGCAAGACTTTTGGAATAGGTCGCATAAAGAATACCTAAATGGACTCAACATGCGTCACAAATGGAAAAGTGGAAATCACCGAATTCGAGATGGCACCATTGTCATCTTAAAAGAAGATAACACTTCTCCTCTGCAATGGGTTTTGGGTCGAGTTACAAAAATATTCCCAGGATCCGACGGCGTCATTCGGACCGTAATTGTCAAACGTTTAAAGGCGAATTTAAACGCAAAGTTCGAAAATTGGCCCCGTTGCCTATCGATGAAAACGACGGTTAATAAAGCAGCAAACGATACATGACTTCGATGGTCATGAATTATTGTTCGATACGAGTTAATTATTATATGTTATTTCAAATTAAGATTAAGATTTGATATTGTTTGAGTTTAAGGGGAGGTTCCACTAGTTTTGATGTTTTTTTCAAAGATTTTTTTTATAGTAAAAAAAATATTTTTTATTTTATATTTTGGCTATCGTGTTGACTAGAATAAGAATTTTTTATTAAAAAATAACCGAAGGACAGACTTTTGAATTTTTTTATCATAATTTTGCAACTTAAATTGTTTATAACTTTTTTAAATATTAATGAATTTTCAAAATCCTAGTCCACACGAAAACTACACATTCAAGGAACATGCTGTCCAAAAATCAAGTTAATTGGTTAAGTATTGTTAAAATGGGAGTGTGAACCAGTTGAAAATATGTGGTTTCGAGAAAAACGCTTTTAAAGTTTTTATATAAAAATTTTGGATAATATTTTTCAAGTTGACAAAAACTCAATGAATTCACTTGAATTTTGTTACTCGGGGGTTTTCGGGGTCGCTGATCACGAATTTGATGTTATTTTGTAAAAATTCAAAATGGCGGATCCAATATGGCGGACGAGTTTTACAAAAATTTATCGGATTAACTTTAAACTCATCACTTGGGGGTTTTTAAAACAAATTTATCGAAAACTTTTTAAATAATTCAAGAAAATGTATCAGTTTTGCATGTTCACATTAGGAATCATATGTTAACTGGTGCAACTTTGATGAACCCAGATTTCTCAGTTTTAGCATGGCAATGGGTACTGGGTTTTTTTACCTCTTAAGTGGTAAAAAAGGAATTATTGAGCAAGCCGTCTGCTCAATTGTCCAA